GCCATTGAATTGAGAGCTTTCCAAAAAAAACCTGCCATAAAATAAGATAGGGAAAGCATGTACACAGCAGACTTTCTGGAATTCTTTCCAGCACGTTATCAGAATTGGGTATAGGAAGCGTTAGTATCGGTTTTTTGTATAATGAAACAACATATTGTGTCTTTGTATGCCCATTTCTCTTCTCCCATCATGCTGCCTTGTGTGTGTTTGTGTGTAAGTGTACTGAGAAACACACGGTAGTGTGCATATGTTCTCATCTTGGTCACAGGACCAAAATGAAGAAGAGTTTGAATGAAACAGTTGGCAATACAGAATTTTAAGCCTCTGACTAACAGTATCTCCCATAGGGATACACTGGGGTAAAGGTTTGTTTGGAATATTTTCTCTGAAGCCCCAGACTGATTTTCAAACAGAGTCTTTCTTTTTGCAGAATTTCTCTCTAGATTAAATCTTGTTCCATTGTTATAGATATAGCTAGTTTATACTATTATGTAAAAGTAAAAAGTTGAGGAATGATGTTATCTTATTCTACTGCTGCACCAAGGGGAGTTGGAAGTCAATGGTGTTTTTTTTTCCTCACCCCTTTTCCCTTCCCTTTTCCCTCCCCTATTTTTGCTGCGATTTTCTTTTGTATCTTTGTATTTTATATTATAAAATAATAAAAAAAAGAAAAGTAGATTAAATCTTCTTCCATTCTGTCCAGTTTTATTTATTTGATACAATGTAAAGGCCACTCGATTCTGCATAATTTTGTATGTTTACACTTTTAAAAAGTGGAACAATAAAAAATAGGCAGCTCATAAGTATTCAGAAGGCCAACTGTGTGGCAAACAGTTAATCCACTGATAGACACATAGATGAACAAGCAGGCAGGTAGACAACAGACGCAATCCTAAATCTCTTTTGTATGATTTCTTTCTAGCATTAGGTTGGAAAGATTGAAAACATCCCTTCCATTTCCTGTTTATTTTTCACGAACACTCTAGTTTTATTCTCTGCTATAAGAGTTGCAGCACTGTCTGATCTGCAGTAGATCCTTCCTCTATTCACTGTCTCTGAAAGCAGGCAAAACTTGCTGCCAAGAGGAAGATGAACCTTCTTAAAGAACAACAGGAAAGACTATTAGGGAGTGATGGGTTGACTGTGATAACAACAGAAATTATTGGGAATCTGCCAAAAAAAAAAAAAGGCCTCTGAACAATACCATCTGCATTTGTTTCCCTAGTTCCTTTGCTTGCTCTTGCCCTCTTTTGAAAATGTAGCCATTGAACTAATGACCCACTCACAGTATAATTACTTAAGAGACTGTGGAATCCTTGGTGCTCTCTAAGTTTCGTTGTTTGCTTGCAGATGTTTCATTATCCAACCAGGTAACATCACTTATGATATTACCTAGTTGGATAATAAAACATCTGCAAGCCATTAACCAGGCTCAGAGAATACCAAGGACTCCGAAGTCCAACCCTGAGCTGCGTATACTGTCTTCTATGGGAACTTAAGACTTTGTTTTAAAAGCTGGTAACCTCACTCTTTTCAGTGATTCACCCTGCAGCATCAATCAAAAACCTGGTAGGTCACTTGGGCCATTTCCATACCAGATATTGAGTTGAACATGCCCTTCAGAAGGAAAGCAGCAATAAAAGTTATGGCTGTAATGAGAGGGATTTATATTATATTTATAATGTAATGTAATGAGAGGGATTTATATGAAATTTAATGGCATCCTGAAATGGAAGCTCATTCTTGCACTTATTGCTAGAAATGTTTTTTTTTAAAAATGAAATCCTAACTACAGAAACACCTTTTGTTTTCTTGGTAGCCAGTATATAAAGTCAGATCTGGCCAATACTTGGATAGGACAACTCCAGGGAACAGCAGTACTGCAGGCCAGACAGGGAAGTAGAAAAAAGAAACATTCCAGGTAAAGAAAAATCACTGCTGTATTACAGCCAAGGAAACTACAGGAACATAATCAATCAACAACTTGAAGGTGAATTTACTTTTCCTTATTCTGTAGCAGATTTGGTATTAATATATTTGACGGACTGGCAACAGATCCTGGGGGAAAAGTCTTGCTAAAGGTATGTTAAGAGCAGAAAAGTTTAGAATTACTAACGACAGTTTAATTCTCCTTGCCAACTATCTGTTTCTGTTATTTTCAGATGTAATCAGCCCCTCATATTTGAAAAGCTGTGTCAGGATTCTGATGGTGGAAACATTTTGAGGTGAACATATATTTTCTACAATTTTGGTAAGAATCCTACATTCTATGAAAGCAACTCCTATAGCAATAAAGCTGGTTTCTCTTTCCTATAGAAACTAGTAATTCTGTTCCAAAACAATTTCTTATATAAAATAGGAAACTGTTTATATTTTATATAAAACACCATACTTGGAATTTTAACATACTGTAGATACCCTCAAAGGAGAAGAAGATTCAACATTTGCACAAGTTATCTCATCATTCTAAAAGTCTGAAAAGTAAATATAAACATCAAGCCAAGAGTAATTTAAATATCCAAATATGTTTTTCAAACAGTACTTAAATTCACTTTGGGTCCTGCATTTTAATTCCATGATCACATACCACATTATAATCAGAATTAAAGAACACAAATCACTTACTGTACATTAAGTTTGATGAAAGGAAAAATAAATAAAAAGGTAAAGGCTGGCATATACAACTTAAACTGTAATTCAGTGACAATTTCCTTTAAGACATCCCTTTTCAAACATCGAATGATGCTTAAATGTTTGTGAGTTCTTTTCAATTTTCAGTATTTTTTCTGCATAAATATGACCTAAAACGTGATTTGTCTTTCATACAAGTCCTAAAAACTAGATTAGGAGCCCAATTAAATGAATGAGTAAAAAATAGTAGTCCATCCTTAATCACCACAGCTGGAATCATCACCACTATCATTAAGTGTGTGAAGTACAAATCACACTTTAGATCACATTTATGCAGAAATATTCGAAATGCAAAAGGATTAAAAAATGTTTAAGCAGATAGCTTAAAACGTGTATACAGTAGATAGCTCCAGAAATAGCCATCATTGAGGCACAATGTGAATTACATCCTAGATATGCTTCTTTTTGTCCTTAAGTCAATAATATATTATGTCTAGAGTGTTTTAAGAGAATCTAATACCCTTCAGATATTTGGAATACCGATTTCTTGGGAACAGATGGCTATCTTCAGATTGTTGTTTCAATATAAGCCTCAGGCAAATTTAAATATCTATTTGTATCTACAACCAAGTCAGCTGAAGCTCAAATATTCTGGCCCCCAAATGAGAAGAGAGGACTCATTGGAAAAGAACCTGATGTTGGGAAAGATTGAATGCAAAGGGAGAAAGGGACAGAAAAGGATGAAATGGTTAGATCAGGGGTGTCAAACTCGATTTCATTGAGGGCTGCATCAGGGTGGTGTTTGATCTTGAGGGGGGCAGGGTGTGTGTGGCCAGGGTGGGCGTGGCCAGCTTGTGTCGAGGGCGCCTGTGGTGTCCTGAGCACTCTGCCAGCAAAAACGGCTCCTGAGCTCCATTTTCGGCAGTGACTGCCTCCTGCAACCCTCTGGAAGCAAAAATGGAGCTTGGGAGTGCCGCCTGCAGTCCTAGTGAGCTCCTTTTTTGGCTGTGATGGCCTCCTGCAACCCTCTGCCAGCGAAAACGGAGCTTGGGAGTACTGCGGGCGGTCCTCTTGAGCTCCATTTTCATCTGCGACAGCCTCCTGCAACCCTCTGCAGGAGGGTTGTAGGAGCTGGTCCTTCGCTGGTCCATTGCTGTTTCAGGGTGGCCCCATTGGCCAGATCTAAGTATCCCATGGGCTAGATTCAGCCCCCAGGCCTTGAGTTTGACACCCCTGGGTTAGATAGTGTCATCAATGCAATGAACATGAATTTGGGCAAACGTATGGAGATAGTGGAGGACAAGGGATTCTGGCATGCTATGGTCCTTGAGATTGCAAAGAGTTGGATACAACTCAGTGACTGAACAACAACAATAACACAATGACACAATGAAGTCTTCACTTGTAGAGGGCCAAGGGAATAACCTTGAGGGACTGGATTGAGAGCACTATCAAAACAAGGTGACTAAATCCAGAGCAAAAAATGTATAGCAAGCAGTCCCTAGTGAAGATAAAGAAAAGGAGAGAGAAGCACATTCAGACTTACAAAATTCTGTACTACAGCTTTTCCATAAAAGCATAACTGACCTACATGGCACTAGTTTCTTGGTTTGATCTAACTTGAAATTTTGACATCACTACTGCTACCCAAAACTGAGCCTGTACACTGATATAGAGCAACTTTCCTTCTAAGTTTCAGAATATTCACAATAACTGACTCAGTCATACCATCTTCCTACAGAGAAGCTTATTTCCATTTTCCCCTTTGCAGCACAGACAATCCAAGTACATCCCATCGTCCATGCATTTGCACATTATAGTTGAAAAAGGCAGTAGTTGTATGTTTAAAATTCTTCTTGGGTGCCAAAGCAAAAATATTTCAAATTTACAATAACTAGAAATAGTCATGCTTAACAACAAAATGCTGTTGTACAGTTTAGAACACATTGTTTAATAATGTCTTCCCTATAAGGATGAGAGTTGTGTCTACAATCTGCATCAGAACTTTCTGCATCTCTAGGTCAAACCTTATTTTATTGCACCAGTTACAGAAAGCTTTCACATAGAAGCACTAGATTTCACAAGAGCTTCTAATCTTTCCATTATACAAGTCATCAGGAGATGAGCACAAATGCTGAATGACCACGGAGATGTTATATATGTCACCCCTGCACTGTAGCTAACATTGGAATTGAGGGAAAATAGAACTCTTCTATATTTACATTGTAAATGAAATGTAAACCAACAATAACCTGACTATGACATTCATAAAGCAATATGATTTGCATGATGATAGCTGACATCTTCCCAGTTTTATGGCTTCCCCCTCACTCCCCAGATCCCATTTCCTCCAAAAAGAAATGATTTACTTGAATTGCTGGTCTTTGGTGCTCCTTGTTTTTGCCAGAAATCGTTCAGCCAGCTTCTCTAAGTTCCTGGAGTAATCCATTTCAATTTCAGCTTTCTTGCGAAAAAAATCCTGCAAATCTTGGAGCAGTTGGACTCTCAGTTCACATTGCTGATCAAGACATTTCAGTTGTTCAATAAGCTGGGCTCGAATCTCTGCAAAACAATGGAGGGAGGAAATTACTCATGAAAATAGCATTAAAACAGAACTACGGTATCTAAATATATTTGCTGCCTGTATCTGTTAAAGCTAAGTGTCTCTAAAGTCAAATAGCAACCACAAGAACCATTCTGAGCTTCCTAAAGAATAAACAACAACTAAATTTACATTGTGGTGTGAGAGACATAAACTACAAGTTGTTACATATAGGTTTAAACTCAAATCAGTTTCTGAAACACACAGAACGATCAAGATTTCTAACATTATAAGATTCTGAAGATAAACTGGGATAACCTCATCATAGCCACTGTTCTCAAACCCTTGGAAAAAGGGCAAAATATAAGTGCAAAAAAGAAAAGGATATTAAAAACAAATTTTAAAATGAAAGTTAAAGTTCCTCTTGATTTTCATACACCAATGGGCCTTTATTTAAATATTAATTAAAAATCCCCCTTCTGTTACTCATTAGGTCAGCTGATTTAAAAAAAAAAAACCACCACCACCAATTACTATTGTGCATTAGACACAGTAGCCAATGAATAACAAAACAACCTGATTCCAATGCAAACTACTTACAAAGATGATTTTTACTGGTAAAGATTCTATTAATCAGCCATGTCAAGCATACATTAGCAATCATTTTCCAAATATGTACTGAATCTCAATCTAGATAAAGGCCACAGGGTTGGATAATGCTCCAATTCTCCACTCTTAGCTCAAATTTCCTCTAGAGACACTATTAAATTCCTTTGCAGACTATTCCTACGGCAAAACCAAAGCACTGATCATGCCATACATTTCCCAGAAGATACCAATTTGGGACTATTCACGCTGGGTCTCCAACTGCGACATTGCAATTAAGCACACCACATCAAATTGTGAATGGTTCGCCTTTGAAAAGTCCAACAAATTTGCATGGCCAGTTGGGAAAGGTCACAAGAAAGACAGTTTCATTTTTCATGGAAAGAATGCCTTTGAGCAAAATTTGCAAGCAGATTATTTTTGACTGCATGCAGGGTATTTTGAGCGCAGATGATGCTGGTGGTTAACACGCTTTTTTTAAAAAAAAAAATCTGGCCTTAAAATATTTCAATAAGGTCACCCAATGTTTGCAGTATAATTTACTCTCACATATTCCCAGTACATAGAAAAACTAAGTTAACTAACAATGTGGTGCTGAACCTTGAAATTCACAGCGTTTTTCTTCGACTTTACAATGAAATCTTACATGTAATTACTTTTAGCTGTGGTATGCTGTTCCATGCCACGAACATCTTATTCTCCAATCCCTTCTCTTCAAATTACCGAATTATGTCTTTTCCTCTTGACATCCCGGAGCACATAAATGCTAATGAATGATGGCTGATGTTGCTGGAAGTTTGCTGCAATCTTTCTGAGTTTATTCAAAATTGAATTGATACAAGTAATCCTTGATTTACGACCACAATTGGGACCAGAATTTCCATTGCTAAGCAAGGGAGTTGTTAAATGAATCACACCCAGTTTTACAACCTTTTTGTCACAGTTCTTAAGTGGATCACTGCAGTAAATATGTGAATCAAACAAATTTGGCTTCTCCCATTGACTTTGCTTGTCAGAAGCTGGCTGGGAAGGTCGCAAATGGTGATCACATGACCCTGGGACACTGCAATCTTATAATACATTCCAGTTGCCGAGTGCCTGAATTTCGTTCATATGACTATGGGGAAGCTACAGCAGTAGTAAGTGCAAGGACTGATAGTAAGTAATCTTTTTCAGTGCCATTGTAATTTTGAAGAGTTGCTAAAAGAATGGTTGTAAATTGAGTACTGTCTGTAATACAAGTAAGGCAGCATAGCATTTAACATTCAGTATATTTCTGCCCATTTTATAGATACAGATCATCTATGTAAAAAACTTGATGGAAATTGTTTCGTTCAGGAAAAGGTGTGTTTGCCAAGTATTTTACTTTACAAACTTACCCTTCTCTTTTTTTTCCTTTCTTGTATTCAAGAAATACACAAACACATAAATTATAAATTTTATTTAGATTAGATATAATTACTGAAAAAGTGTCTACAGCAGAATTTCTTAACTTGTTGCTTTTCACATAAAACACCTGGTTAGGAATTGCATTAGGCCTCTTAGTAAGAAAATCCACATTGCACACAATTTTCTGAGACCAGGATTGTAATTTTGCTTGGAAGGATGGTTTGAAAGGGCAAGCTGTCTCTCTTTGGGCCAGGAATCAAGCCTTAAAGAAAGGCCAATCCAGGAAGAAAATGCACTCCATCAATCATTTCTTTTAACAACTGATCAGAAAGATTTAGCTGCTCAGAATTTCTCATACTATAGATACAACTTCATCGTTCTCCATTATCAAAATCACATGAGAAAAAGTTGTAACTCCATGAAATGTTAATGTGTCAATACAATAATCCAATGTAAACAGATTCAAAATTCACATTTGACCGAATTGTAACATGCCCTTTATTTCTCCCTTTAATTATCTTATCTTAGGTGCTCTTGTTGTTTATAAGAAAATCAAAATCCAATGAATAACACATTTGAAGTTAAAGCATGAACTACTAATTTCAGTTCAATGATATATCCCAACCAATGAACCCCCCATCTCTCCCTCCCTCCTTCCCCCTCCTTCTTCTCTCTCTCTCTCTCTCTAATTTCAATGATTTTCAAATTAAATATTTGAAGGCAAGAGAAATCATTTTGAAAACAAGTATACAATACATTCAATACAATATATTTCAGAAGAATATACTATATTACAAAGCAGCATGTATTAAGAAGAATGTTATTTCAAAAGCCCATGCCCTACTCACCCCACAATGTGTCCTCTGAATTATGAACAAGTCTTGTTTATGTAAACTAACATTTGCAGCTACAGTAATCTGACATGCATATACAAGAGCAAACTTCTAAATGAAGCAGATAAGCCCTTTTGCTTCTTCAGATATCTATTATGTCAAGACAAGTACTTTACAATAATCAACACTGTATTACTGTTTGCATAAAAGGGAAAGTAACAGCTGACTGAGTTCCTGGCAGTGGCATTCAAGAGTTCATTGAAAATCTACATATCCTACTACAGAAGCATGAACTATAGAAGACTGCTCTTGTTCATAACATTCTCTTTTTCAGCAAAGTTTTGTTCTGGTTGCACGTAAAAAATGTCTGGGGTGTTGGAATTTCCTGAAACTCAGGTAACTTCTAAGAGTATATAATGTCTTTTTGTAATCCAGTCATTTATGTAAACAAGAGGATCACAATACAGTTTACAGACGGGGGGGGATGCCTTTGCAAGTTCAGTATGAAGACTCAAGGAACTTGGAACCCCATAAATTAGAGGCAATTTAAATTAAATTGGAATGGAATGTGTCTCTATTTTTTAAGAATTCTGAATCCATTTATGAGGATATTTTAACACCTACCATAAATTACAGAGAACAAATAATGAAAAGACCTAATTTTAAGCATGAAGTTTAAACATGAAATATAAATAACAAGTTAGCCTATGACACACATAATAAACCTTTCCTGGTAATATTGAAAAGCTTTCAATAGGAGAGTACAACTTGCAAAAGGGGAAGACTGGGGTTATTCTCCATGAATAGATACTGATAGTTTGCAATGGAGAACTCTTCTACCCATTGGGTTTCTCCATGCAGTAGAACAGTGGCCCCCAACATTTTGGGGCCCAGGGACCATTCCATAGAGAGAGGTTTTTCCGGGTACCGGAGGGAACGTGGTTTCCTGTGCTGCCTGCATCCTGCAGATGAGGCTTTGCTTGTTTGTGCGGCCCTGTTTCTGGCATGCTGTGGCCCAGTGCCAGTCCATGCACTGTGGGTTGGGGACCCCTGCAGTAGAAGTATATCTCTATCCCGCGTCAATTCAGTGATGCGGTGAATGTGATGTGCCGGTGCCTGGAGGCTGTGAGAGTCTGGATGGGAGTCAACAGGCTCAGACTTAACCCAAACAAGACCGAGTGGCTGTGGGTATTGCCTCCTAAAGACTATGTCGATTGTCCATCCTTGGTTCTGGAGGGGGAGAAATTGTCCCCCCCAGAACGGGCTCGCAATTTGGGTGTCCTCCTAGACTCACAGCTAAGATTAGAGCAACATCTGACAGCTGTGGTTAGGGGGGCCTTTGCACAGGTTCGCCTGGTGCACCAATTGCAACCCTACTTGGATCAGGAGGCTCTCCTCACAGTCACTCATGCCCTTGTCACCTCATGGTTAGATTATTGCAACATGCTCTACATGGGGCTACCCTTAAAAAGTGTTCAGAGACTACAGTTGGTCCAGAGCTGTCGTGGGTGCACCTAGGTACACCCACATTACACCAATTCTCCGCAAGCTGCATTGGCTCCCTATTGGTCTCTGGTCACAATTCAAGATGTTGGTTATTACCTTTAAAGCCCTACATGGCTCAGGGCCAGGTTATCTTTGAGACCGCCTTCTACCTCATAGCTCCCAGTGACCAGTAAGATCCCACAGAGTTGGTCTCCTCCGGGTCCCGTCAGCTAAACAATGCCGGCTGGTGGGCCCACGGGGGAGGGCCTTCTCTGTGGCTGCCCCAGCTCTCTGGAACCAGTTACCTCCTGAGGTCCGGACCGTCCCCACCTTATTGGCCTTCCAAAAAGCGGTGAAGACCTGGCTTTTCCGGCAGGCCTGGGGCCGTTGATCTCGCTTTGTGATCTGACGAGATCCGGCCATGAATGGTGTGAATGGGTTTTAATGTCTTTAATGTTTTTAATTTTTAAGTGTTTTTATATTGATTTTTTGAGTGTATTGTGAGCGGCCTTGGGTCTTCGGAGAAGGGCGGCATATAAATTGAAGAGAGAGAGAGAGAGAGAGAGAGAGAGAGAGAGAGAGAGAGAGAGAGAGAGAGAGAGAGAGAAAGAGAGAAAGAAAGAAAGAAAGAAAGAAAGAAAGAAAGAAAGAAAGAAAGAAAGAAAGAAAGAAAGAAAGAAAGAAAGAAAGAAAAAAAAATGTGGAGA